TGAGACTGTAATTTAAAGATGACCTTTTAGCGACGCTAGACTAACCTTAATAGTATCCATCTAATAACAAGGACCAACTGAGGGTTATAAACCTGTGTGTGGGGAATTAAAATTACGATTTACTGTTGATGTTTAAGGTTAAGAATTAGATTTCAGGTTTTTATCACGAACTGACATCAGCTATAATGCCAAGAAGCTATTTAGCCAAACAGATGGATGAACTTCGTGCCACAATTCAAAACCTGTTATCTTTTATTTGATTGGTTTGTTCATAGTATGACGAAGCATCCACTGTCCAAACAAAATTGATATGATAAGTAAGAACTAGGCTTAATAATCAGATGTCTACTGCCCAGCCCTCTTTTGTTGTAAAGTCCTTATAAATCTTAATTGTAAACTTTTATAGACCTCTGGGTATTTGTTTCTTCTGCATAGATTGGTGCTACAGAGTTAATTTTGTTTGACAAGTTATTAATAAAGATCAGGAACAGTAGCGGACATATGATTGTTACTTGTGGAAATTTATGTGCTGAGACCCGCCAGCTCACGTGCACTCTGTTTATCTTTGTACGAAACATTATGTTCGCTAAATGGCTTCGGAGCCAAGATAAGGGTGGGTCAGTAAGGCCCAACTTTTGGAACCTTATCTAGGAAGTATACGTGTGACAATATGTAGTGTTTAAGTGAAGTCAATTAATATTGTGTGGAGTACCACCTTTTGTTCCCTTCAGGTCCTCCAAATGTCCCATTCTATGAGAAGGTCAAACAAACAGAACGTTCCTTTCTCAAAACCGTGTTAACGTCTTTGAGGACGTTTTTTAATTCGTCTGTTCCCCAATTTTTTCACTGACCATTCCTTCCATTACTTTCGACAGTATTGGCAGTAGTGAAACTGGTCTGTCTCGCTCCTTGAAGACTATAGAGCAGTCTTATTTTATTCTCTTGGAAGTTGGTGTGACCCCAGTGAGCGTCTGAAAAGGCTACAAATAGGTTAACCATTGGCCTCCTCATTCTGTTTTAGGATTGTGCAGGGATTGTGTTTTTATTTTACGGACACAGTAGCTCTTTGAGTATTACCAAGATTTTCAACTGGAACTAAAGCTGAAGACTATTCCGCACTCAGTTTCCTGATTTAATTGATCGATCGAGTTGCCATAAAGCAGCTCTTCTATCGTAAATTTAATAAGATCTTCGTCTTTTGATCCTTTAAGAGAATAGATATTCTAGATTGCAAATTTTTATTATTTTCATGAAGTCGCGGAGATATTTAGGGTTAAATTATATTTTGGATGCTAACTCGGTCAGATAATATCTCCTTTTGTTTCGAACTTCGGCGTTGATACGGTCAGAGTCCATCGGGAAGGCTTTCCACCTGTACCAGGCCTTTCCTTTGTTCTGTATCAAGTATTACATGCATTCTTGTACCCAGAATCTTCTCTTTTCAGGCATGCGCTTTTTCTGAAGTGCATTGTGTGAGACAGAATCCTGAATGGTATGTATCCCTCACTATCTTCCAGCGGTCACCCACTATTAGCCTCCAGCAACATAGTGACCATGAGGCGTTTTGAGGATGCTCTCTCATCGTCATGTACTATGCTCTAATGTAGCTAAGGTATAAAATACTCTCATCCTCCCAGAGTAAATCGTTTGTCAACACGTACAACATGAGTGTACAATGACCAATTACATCCTCGAACATGGATATCCTCAACTATTAGCTGATCACATGTCATCAAAAAGACCAAGCATAAAGGTTTCCCGTCCTACTTTAGATCTTGAATCAAAAAAATGCACGAGCAGTCATGAACGACGAAGGTACAATATGACGTTTGATAGCATGATAAACTTGAGATTAGAAAATTGAAAATAAGGCAATGTTGACAATGACATGGAAGTCAGCATTGAAAAACGAGCAGCCAATCTCAAGTCGGAGTCGAATATCACATGGTTGCATCTAATCCGAAAAGCCTATTCCTTGGTGGAGTTTTGTTCTCTGAGCTGGATGGTTTGGTCGTGGAGCTTTCATCGTTCTTCTGAACGACATCATCAGCACAAACTTCAGATAGAAGTGAGGTGTTTGAATTTCTCCATATGTGTCTCAAAGTTTGTTCTGTGCACCTCGACGTTGATTGGTTCTTATTGACCTTAAATTTGTCGTTGTTTACTTCTTTGTTTTGGTTGTGTCTCCCATTGTTTTGATTTTTGTTCTTATGTTTGTGCATAATTTTTCTGATTGGTTGATAAATTGGATTGATTTCAATATGCTTGTTGATTGCTGATTGACCTGAGTGCCAGGCTTCTAAAAATTCTCTGGTGTTTTTGGAGTTTCCTCTGTCTAAGATTTCCACATTTTTCCAATCGAATGAGTGTCCGCAGTTGTCCACGTGTATTCATATAAGTGAAGAGATATCATGCCGTTTGACTGCTAATTGATGTTCATGTAGGCGAAGGTGAAGGGGGCGTCCGCTTTGTCCGATGTAGTGTTTTTCGCAGTTGGCACAATTTATTTTATAGATGATGTTTGATTTGTTTTCCTTTGTTACTTCATCTTTTGGTTTGCATAAAATTGATTGTAGTGATTTTGTCGGTTTATGTGCCACACCTATTCCGAAGGTTTTCAGCATTCTTGTCGCGGTTTCTGATATTCCTTGTATATATGGTAGGGTGATTCTTTTGTTGATTTTTGTGCTTGACTTGAGTTCTAATGCTGCGTGCGGTTGGTATTTTTTGATGAAGTTGATGGGGTAGCCGTTCTTCTGAAATACATACTTTAGGTATTTCTCTTCACTTCTTCGTGCTGCCAGTGTGCTGCAGTGTGTCTTCGCCCTCTTGAACAAATTGTGTACGCAGTTGATTTTGTGAGCTCTTGGGTTGTTGCTATTGTAGTTGAGATTTTGATCCGTATTCCTTCATGAAGCATCTATTCTATACACTATAGACCGAATTTCTCAGTTTTTAATTCCTAATGTATGGTCTAAACAACTAAGACACTGATGACGTATAACTCCTGGCAAAACGTTATTTTTAAATATTTCAACCTCCGCATACAATTCACATCGAGAACTCCACCTGAAACTCTTCAGAAAGTTCAGAAGTACACCTAAGCACTGGATCGGTATTCCAGTCTGCAACATATAGACAACAAGGTTATTTCTCCTGATCTGCTATACTGAGAGAAGCGGCTGGAATTTTGAATAAACCCCTCGAAGTAATGTTCTTACAATCACCAAGTTATGATGCGTTCAGATAATTGATTGGGCAGAGTACATCGCTCCAAGTTTCAAAGGATGATGACGCAGAAAGCTTTCGAATTTTCGGTCATTAGCACTTATTTCAATACTCTCATGGGTTATGACATCTCCCATACGTGACGGTTAATGAGCCTGCTTGAAATCGATAAAATTCGAGATGATGGAGAAGATTTCAGCTCAACAACTCGGTTTTAGGAAGGGCTATTTTTACTTCATCAATGTACTAACTGCAGTAGATAGATGGTTAACGACCAATGATTGTAAGAGAAAGGTAGATGTGATGTGCCCCGGCCTCTGATGAGCTTTTTATGGAGTAAATCATACCTATCTTATCAGTCAGTTCAAGCTGTAGGGTATGGATTTATCGTTGTTTGAAGCATATTTAAATAATCGACGTTTTCAGGTCAAGGCATGCATTGCTATTTCTCAATTTACAGGATATTCTATTTGGGTATCTATGGTTCACTACTACGATCCATACTCTGCGAATTAAATAAATGATCTAACATAGAATGTATCAACAATGTTATTACTTTTCATCGTAGACGTTAAAGCTTGAATACAACTTTGTGACATATATCACAATTCCAGTCTTCTGTCATCATCGGTTTTGTTATAAGCTGACGATGTCAAGATATGGACAGTTTCAAAATGAATGGTTTGAAATTTGTTAGTTTTCGATAATTGCTTCCAATAGCATTATGATGCATGTCGGTCACCAAAGCACAGGTACATACACAGTGAATAACAGTGAGCTATTTGTTACCCAGACACACAACGACTTAGGAGTAATCATTAGCCAAGACTTTGTAGTGACTCACATTTATCACGAGGACACGACTGGTTTAATAAAAACAATTATTATTATAACCAACTGTACCAGTGCTTGTTTTAATGTGCTTTTGTTTGACTGTGCTAATGACAGCTATATTGTGCTTCCGTTCTTATTCTTACACTTTGATTGTAACTTCGCGCGAATTCGGTTACGTTCTGTAACTAAGCTTCTATCCTGGCACGATTTCGGTATCCTTTCGATGCCACGAGATCGCCAGCGAATACATCTCGACTTGGTCCATTAATTGCCTTCTGATATTTGGCTTCTCGGGGATTTTGTGGAGTCATTTGGAACGAGCTTCTTGGTAGCGGTGTTCATATTCCATCTCCACTCGACGCCACGCTACAACTGGTGATCCCAAAGTTTGGAACACGCGACAACTTTAATACTACTGCACATTGCCATTCGATAGCCTTCAGAACTTTTAGAAATTTGTGGTCAATACGTATGGCCTTCAGCCATGTTGAAGCTAGAATCTCCCCGACTTATATTCAGTGTTCGTTCGTCCCAATCCCAAGTACTACATACAGGCGGCTAGCCCTTGCCTAAAAATGGACAGTGAGCTGCTAGAAATGGTCCAGTTAACCGCAACTAAGCTAATTCTCGGAATAGCAAACCTGTCATGTGATGCTTGGCTGACTAAACGAAACCTAAGTGATAAATATTTCCTCACTTTTCTTGTCTTCCAAAGGAGAGGATTTACGAGGACACTGGAAAAGTTCGAAAGTCTAGAACAAATTACTTATCAGCTGACTATCAATTTTTCTATCGAGTCATCGACGAATAGAATCGACCACTTGAATACGTGGTTGAAGCTCCATCTGTCGACGTTTTTAAACGAAAGTTGGACAAACCGACAGATCGCCATTGCGTGAACTAACAAGGGCCATCTATTCTCCCCTCCATTCAAAACTGAAACAGATGTTAGCGCGCGATTTCAAGGCCGGCGTTACGGCGTGCTCACATGTTCGTGCAAACTAGCAATCTTCATGTTATCGTGGTAAATTTGTGTGGCTTGTATTTGTTGAATAATCTTCCAGATAAAACTCTCACTCTCTCTTCTATGAAAGGTTTAGATTTTTGACGCGACATGGATCAACTTTATACTAAGAGTTATGTCAAGTTGAGAAATATCCGCAATCAACCAATAGAGGGTAAATAAAGGGGAAACACGCCAAAATGACTGTTTTTTGTTGCCTGTACAAGGGAAATAATACATATTTTCCTCTTTTATGTTGCCTTGTTTCGAACGACGCTGAATTGTCTACTCTTCGCATAAATACACGCCGGAAATATAAATACAGGGAGCGGCATATTCAAACACGTTACGTTACGTATATTTGTCTACAGAATTCATTCAGATACATGACGTAGGGAAGAATAATCGACATTTCCCCTTTTTTTCACTTTCGTCCGCTTCATTTCTCGTTTATTGGTTGCTTAGGTCTAAGAGTCTTGATACCCTATAATCTAAGGTCTTCCGCCAAATGTGGCAGAAATGCCACTCCACAAAACCCTACATTAATGACGTTGAAGTGCACTTTTGTTCAGTTCTACATTGAAACTTTTCATTTAATGTTTAACGATTTTATCCGTCCTCATTTGGAGTATGGAAACATAGTGTTTTTTCCCTTCATTCCAAGAGGATAAGAATGTATTGGAATGTATCTAAAAGCGAGGCATGAAGTCAGTTCGATCTTATAAAAAATACCTTAAATCACTGGATCACTAGGTGAGACTATAATTTATGGACGACCTTTGAGCTAAGTTAAACTGACTAACCGAATCTGATGAGTGAATTTCGCGCAAATATCCGAGGCCTGTTATCTTATACTTTATTGGTTCGTCCATAAATTATAGTCTCGCCGGATCAATACCCATTAGATTCCAGGCGTTTCAGAGGTGACCTATAGCATACTAAACACTCCTGGCCACCCCCTTAAGTATTTACTTTAGCTCAGTCTAACACAAATCTTACGGGTAACATCCAGAAATCAGAGACACCACATAGCAGAATCTACTGTAGGCACACCTTTTACTCTATACAAGTAGTCGAATTCGCTGCCGACTGATGTGGACCAAGCAACTTTCCAGAAATTCTTCAAGAGAAAACCTAATATATTCTTGAGGACTCAGAATAGTATTCTACTATAATTTATTGATATTGCTCTTTGTTTCGTTAAATATACCTGGGTTTCTTCTTTGAGGTGTCACTAACCCACTGCTGATATATGCGGTAGCTCGTTATGTTCATCGTTTGCTTTGTGTACGTCCATTGAAGTTATCTGATTTGCTATCTGTTTACTGAATTTCTTCAAGCCTTAGTTGTTATGTGATCTGTATCCTATTTATTACAGGGTAATATCCTTTCGGTTTATTGTTTCCCATTTTAAGCATTTCTGTACTTATTGTATCATTGTTTATATTCATGTTACCTTGCTTCTCGATGCTTTGATACTTTTATTTTAGACGTCACAACATAAAGTTTAATTTGTGATAAACTATTATTTGTGTTTTATCGTTATATCACTATTCAAAGTAATTCCATTGTGCTCTAATACTATATAAGTTAGGTACTGTGTGTCCCTGTCTTGCCACTTTATCTTCTGTTTGACAGTAATGTGTTTTTCCGGTAGTATAACATTACTGATAAATGAAATGTTATCTATTAAGTCAATGATAGGAGAATATAAGCTTTTATGTTTCACTTATTTGTCAAGGAATTTCAAACTGAAACACCAGGCTTATTTCTTGCCAGTCACATTAATTCCTCAATATGCTGTCTTATGATAGATTTATATTTGTTTTATCTACTAATGACAATATTTTTCACCACTTCAGCTTTTTGAGAAATAATTGTGTGACGTAAACCTATGTTTTACGCTGAAATTAATGCCCTCTAAATTGTCTCACTTATTTACAAACTTTTATCCTACTGTCATGAATAATAAAATAATTAGTGTGAAAGATGGTAAGTTGTGGTGATGTCCTTTTTAACGCTTTGTGAATGTTGCTTCATTATTGAACGGGAGCTGTCTATGGCTTGATGGTTTTCGTAGTAGTTGTATTGGTCAACAAATCAAACTTGTGGTGGTCTTGAGTGGCATTAGAAGTGCAGTGCATCGGTGATTACTACTTGCTGGTTGGCTACACTTAGGGGATACTTATTTAGTTACCTAATAACGTGACTAGACTGATAGTGGTCTTGTCATTGTAGGTGCTTGACCACGAAGCTCAAGCGATAAGTACTCAGAGGCTGTGAGTTATTCGTGTGTTAACTTCATTTGTTCAACATCTTATTAATAGCATCGGTTAGACATGCTATTTCTTAGAGTTAACACTTTCTGACCCCCTGTGAGCGGGGACCATGTACGGAAATGATATTTGTCTGAGAGAATGACATCTTACTGACACTACAATCCGGAACAGTCACCAGGACACTTCACTCTTGAACCTTAAGTTACCATTCTTCAGCCGACTAACATATGGTGGGGTTTAAATGAATAAGTGTTCTAGCCAATACAGTTTAATTGGGAAATCACGATAAGTAAACCTAATCGCTACGACAAGGTAGCTGCTACAATCGGGTACTCCATTTCTTGAGCTTAGCTCCGCCTATTTAGGCGTAGAATGTGTTTTGATATATGGACTGTTTATATGAGTCGTTATTTACGGCGTATGTTGTACATAAAAATGTAGAAGAAAAAATTGTCAAAGTAGAGAAAATAATACTATGTTTAACTTAATTTTGGCAATTGAAGTGTGTTTAGTTAATCATACGCTACATCGAATTTGGGACATGTATATATCTATTCACTTTGCTATACCATATATTACAGCAGAATGAGAGAGTATAAGAAGTATTGTAAGAGTATTAGTGGTGATACAAAACGATATTAGATACAGATAATATGAGTCGGAAAGAAATTGAATTCATGAAATAAAAAGCTTAAGATGATTTTGAAATTCAGGACCTAAGAGAGAACAAAGAGTAGATGCAAATGCTCCATTATGATCAACTCTGAGCCATGTCATCCATCGTCTCCAATCATTGGTTACAATGCTCACGCGTATCGCGACCTGATGGTCTACACCCACCAACATGGCGCAATTCACTTGTCAATGACCTTATCAACTGATGCCATGTCTTCGGCTTGGTTATCCCCAGATTTCTTTCAACCTATTCCTACGCCATCAAATATCGCTCGTTGAGATATTTTATTTTATTATTTTAACACATGAATATTGGAACACGAAGGCACCAAATACATATGCGCCACACATATTTCATTTGTGTGAGGGTTGTGATACTGACCGGGTGCCCAAACCGAAGCAGATCGTTTTCTTAAGGGGCTACACCCAGAGCCTTCGACCTGAAGGACTGATCCACAAGACAGTGGAGCATCGTAAGGAGATGCAGTCGCATGGTAGCCAGTGACCAACGATTGGTTCATATGCCATTTGTTCCTTCAGGATGCTGGAGCCAGCTCATGTGCACCATTGGTTTGAAATGAGGGTTTTCCAAATCTCCTAGGTGGACTCTCCGTGTCCATCGACCCGGTTAAAGCACCGGATATTCGCTTTTCGTCCTCTCAATTTCGTAAACAACACCCCCAACACAATAAGGCAGTGAGTAGAAGTTCCCTCATAGTGGTTGTATGCATGTGGCCATGTGACAGAATTTCGAGAGGGAGAGCAGACTCTCCCCACTCGGCCGTATCAGGGTATTTGGGGGGGATCGTAGATAAAGAGAGTGGAATAGATTCTCGCCACTAAATATTGAAAACTGAAGTCTCCAATATAATGCAGAATGATTGACAAGATTAGTATACTTTTGGAAATAACGTATCTGGCTTAAACTTCTTGATGATAACTTCAGCAAGTTCAAGTCGATCTGTAAAAGTTACAGAAAGGTGTCATTTGAAAAGATCACAGAGTACTCTTAATTGTTAGTCATTCATAATCCTACTCAAGACATTTGGGTGTTGTTGTCAGTTTATTAATTTTCAACCATAGTGTTGGGACTCACTGGTTAACATATCACTTGACTTCCGTCAATTTGCTATATTGTACGACCCTTGAAGCTTTTAGTTCATTATAGGATTCAGTTTTGAACTTCCGTCCGACAACCAAACGTTATCACTAATCGTAAAGAGTTCCAAATACATGGACTTATATTTGTTACACTATTTTTCAACTCTCATCAACATGACATCATAGTCTAAACGTAGCCCCCAAATGCCCTGGTACGGCCGAGAGTGGGGAGAGTCCGCTTTCCTTCTCGAAATGCTCTCACATGGCCACGCGTATATAGCCTTTGTCAGGGATGTCCTACTCACTGCCTTCTCATGGCGGGGGTGTTGTTTACGAAAATGAGAGGATGAAAAGCGAATGTCTGGCGCTTTAACCGGGTCCCAAACCAATGATGCACATGGGCTCCAATATCCTGCGGGAACAAATGGCGCATGAACCAATTGTTGGTCACCGGCTACCATGGGACTGCATCTTCTTACGATGCTCCACTGCCTTGTGGGTTAGACCTTTAGGCCAAAGACTCGGGGAGTGGCCCCCTAAGATAACTACCTGCTTCGGTCTGGGCAGCCGGGCAGTATCACAGTCCTTGCACATATCAAATGAGATTTGTGTGGGGCATATGTATTTGGTGCCTCTTTGTACCAATGTCTATGTGTTGAAAAAAACGTATCGTGCTAGTTATATTTAAATAAAAGTTGAAATATATTCAATTGTTTCATATAATACGCTACTGGACCATAATGCTTCGCTTAATTTTTTGTAATTTTATTAGCAAGTTTGAATCTTAATGCAATCGTTCAGTTAATCAGTCAAAATGATGGTGTAATAGCACTTCCAACGGACACTATCTATGGATTAGCTTGTTCCGTTTTTAATAGTGAAGCAATTGAACGAATACGTCGTATTAAAGGTCGTTCAGAGACTAAACCTATGGCTATATGTTTAGATCAGGTAGGTTGAAATCATTCTGTTCTTTGTGTATGTGTATGTGTTATCAGTAGCAGCTTATATCAATATTCAATGATTTCATTTACTTAATGATGTGTTATTTAGCTTCCCATAACGTTCTTCTAATTTTATTCTATACAAGTAAGCACAGCAATCGATTTACTCAACACTTAACAGCAGGTGAATAACAGTAACATCAGTCGCTCTTTAATTTCGCTATATGTAAGTAATATTTCAAAGATATTTATAATCATATACTCTCTGTCTACTTATGACTTCTTACATAGACTATGTCTTATAGGGTATTAAACAGCAAGCATTTCACTTGTGTCCCAAGTTACACGTTTTGTCAAAAACTGAGTACCATTTTTGGTATCGTAATGCATCTATCCGGTGTGTTCATCTTGTGCTAATGAGGTATGGCAACTTGAACCGATGCACATACGTGCCTGGTCCTACGTTGTAGCTGACTGACTGACTATCACTAATCTCTTCAAGGTAATGGCTCGTAAACTATTGAATCACAGTTCTGTACGGTTCCATCGTTGACCGTTTCACGAACATGATATTTTCGTAATTCAAATCTAGTTAGTATAATCTTTTACAAAGTTAATAAAATACCAGTTTACTCAATTTTATATTGAACAACAGATATCCAAAAACGTTTTACGGTGAGCTACTAGTGATATCGTGGCGAGAGGATTCAGTCGCCATGACATTTGATTTTCAACAATCAAGTGTCAAGTTCTAATACTTTGCTTTAGGCAACTGAATAAAATGTAGTTGTCCCATACCCTTAAAGTCTGACTTGAATTCAAGTATGCGAATTTGTATGTTGGGAACAAACTATCAAATCTTGAATTTATCACATGGTTTATTGACATATGTGTCACATATGACTCACTGTTTCATTTATTTTTATTGTAATGAACGAAGACTTGGGTAGGGTGAACCGATACATTACATTATGCAAAATCACATACTGCATTTGTAAAGTATAGAAACAGTATATTGGATACACCATTTGAATATCTTCCTTGAATTGTCTCTTAAATACATCATCATTCTTTCTGGCGCATATATATTGGTGCTCTCTTGTACCAATATTCATGTTGCTACTCGGACTGCTTCTGCTTTTCTTTCGTTTTTTATGTTCCTCTTCTGTCAGTAAGAATCCTACTTCAATATTCCAATGCATACTATTTATATCTGTCTGTATAAGTAGCACACACCACATTATCCTCTCTCTAACACTAATATAAATGGATTGAGACAAATGACTGTTAAGCTCATTTCTTACATGACCTAATCGATCAGATTCTCAGAGAGCATATGAAATATTCTTTCCATAATCTAAACTCTATCTCAACTGATCATATAAGGGTTCATGTGTGATGATCATGTGCTAACTAATATTTCATCCACTGAACTGTTATTTTTCACAAATGGCATTTAAAATATTTTCTTCTTTTTCATATACATCTAAGTAAACACCCATTCTAGTTCTCCTGTTTCTTGAACTAATAAAACTAAGGACATATAATGCAGATAGTCGATCTTATTTTTTGTAATCAATTTAAATATGAATGTAAACCAACTAAGTAGAATTATTTATTTGTTTGAACACATAAATATTGGTACAAGGAGGGCACCAGATATATATGCGCCCCCTAATGCCCTAGTACAGCCGAGAGTGGGGAGAGTCCGCTCTCCCTCTCGAAATTCTCACATGACCACGCGTATATAGCCTCTGCCAAGGAAAGTTCTACCCACTGCCTTCTTGTGTTGGGGGTGTTGTTTACGAAATTGAGAGGACGAAAAGCGAATATCCGGTGCTTTAACCGGCTTGATGGACACGGAGAGTCCACCTAGAGGATTTGGAAAACGCTGATTCCAAACGAATGGTGCACATGAGCTGGCTCCCTAAAAAAACAATCTGCTTCGGTTTGGGCACCCGGTCAGTATCACACCCCACACACAAATAAAATGAAATGATGATATTTACTGAGAATACTGAAGCACTGGACGGCCGTTTCGTCCTAGTACGGGACTCCTCAGCAGTGCACATCCACGATCCCGCACCACCCGGGGCTCGAACCCAGGACCTACTGGCTTCGCGCGCGAGCACTTAACCATTAGACCACTGAGCCGGCATCCAAAGGTGTTAATGTCTAACTTCAACCAATCCACGAAGTCGCGCCACCGTACACCATTGTCTTCAGTGAGCTGATATCTCACAACAGACCTGGTTGAACTCCACTGGTAACGGCTTCTCACTAGAACTCCAGGAGTATCTCTTGAAGTCAGTCACTAGTGAGCAGATGATTATTATCAGAAGGGGTTTTGTGGAGATTTTAGAAATTTTCACAGATTTAAATCATGAGTCAGTTGAAGCTAGACCACCATTGAAAACCTGGTGCGGGATCGTGGATGCGCACTGCTGAGGAGTCCCATAGTAGGACGAAACGGCCGTCCAGTGCTTCCAGGTTTTCAATGGTGGTCTAGCTTCAACTGACTCATGATTTAAATCTGTGAAAATTTCTAAAATCTCCACAAAACCCCTTCTGATAATAATCATCTGCTCACTAGTGACTGACTTCAAGAGATACTCCTGGAGTTCTAGTGAGAAGCCGTTACCAGTGGAGTTCAACCAGGTCTGTTGTGAGATATCAGCTCACTGAAGACAATGGTGTACGGTGGCGCGACTTCGTGGATTGGTTGAAGTTAGACATTAACACCTTTGGATGCCGGCTCAGTGGTCTAATGGTTAAGTGCTCGCGCGCGAAGCCAGTAGGTCCTGGGTTCGAGCCCCGGGTGGTGCGGGATCGTGGATGTGCACTGCTGAGGAGTCCCATACTAGGACGAAACGGCCGTCCAGTGCTTCCAGGTTTTCAATGGTGGTCTAGCTTCAACTGACTCATGATTTAAATCTGTGAAAATTTCTAAAATCTCCACAAAACCCCTTCTGAAAATACTGAGTAGAATTAGTTTTCAATGTTTTGTTATTTATGTAACGTTGATATATGTGCATACATATTTACGCCTTGATTCATTATTGAGTAGCAGTGACTATATGTACTGAATCCTTAGTGCTGATTAAATTTTACAGATCAAGTTGCAATGTGGTCACTAGTCTAGTTTGACAGTACATGTATGCATAGTTAAAATAGTTCATTCATGTTGATTCACAGTTTATAGTTTTCTTTATTTCCTACCGCTGCATGTTTTAGGTATCGCATATCTCCCACTGGTGTGATACAAAAAATATTCCAACTGGTCTGCTATCAGATCTTCTCCCTGGTCCTGTCACTGTTCTATTACCACGTTTTTCTGATAGACTTCAGGATCCATTGAGCACTCATTTGCTAAACCCAAGCGATAAGCGTGTTGGAATTCGAATACCAGATTCCGGTTTTATACGTAAACTTATATCAGCTTTGAATGAACAAACTAGATTCTCATCAATTGTTGGCAATAATGTTGAACATTCTAGTGGTTGTGATAAGCACGATAGTACCAGTATTGGTGGTGGTCATCCATTAGTGTTAACCTCAGCAAATTTAAGTGGACAACCGTCGGCGATTCAAATCGAGGTATGAATTATTACAGTGTTTATACTTTTATTTTTGAGAAATTGGAAGAATCCAATCATAGTCACAATTAATGTGTAAGGTTTTGGACAAATTTGCGTTAACTGAAGTTGCCACTCTCTTCAAAAACTTCACGTCTCATCGGCACAGCTAGATGAACTTAATAGTAGAAAAGTCTAAATAAAATAGTAGTATTGTTATTTTTGTGGAATCTGACAAACACGTTTGAACGCTGCCCAAATGTTACACTACTAAGAAATCTTTTGACCTCTTTCCTTATCATAAAATTGTTCTTCATTCAGCAGTTATATCATTAAATACATCTATGATTTTTGAATGTGCTTCTAGATTTGTGTATTTGTTGGGATATTCAGGAAAATATCCCAAAAATCATCCTGTCAAGCCTAACGCTATCCTTGGACATGAAATGGTATCATCTTATTGGTCATTATTTATTTCACGTGTCATTTTCCTACTGGCTATTATTGTACAATGTTATTCTCTATTTTATGGTACGTTGTGGTCTGCTTGACTGGTATATAAACAAAGTATGTTTGAAATATAATGATTCATACATCCGAGGCTGTGACTTGCGTTCTGGACTCAACTGCTGGGCTAGACAGGGAAGCGGGGCCAATCAGAACCCTAGGTCGTTCTACGTGTTTGCGCGTCTTTGGTCCGATCGATAATTCGCTACCCTCAAATCTGTTGCCATTCAGTTATAACAGTATTTGAGCATATGTTCCTTTGAAGCATCGATGAATAGTAACTGAATACATCTTTATGAAATTAAAATACTGATTTTATTCCTGCAACTGAAATTGGCATATTCTTAAAATTGTAACCGCATCCTCCATCACAACAGTAACTTTCAGAAGAAAAAAAACAGAAGTGTTTTTTGATAACTGAAAACTGTATTTAAGGGATAACTTAAACTGAAAACTGGGTTATAATTGAAACGAAACATTTAGATTGAAAAGAATTGAAATTTATAAATTGACCTCATCTTTACTGTTATGTCTGTAGAATGCTTAACTAACTTGGTGCTCGATAGTGGAATACCGTGAATCAGACGATCCAAGTAAAAATTTCAAGTCGATAGATATGGGTATATTTTACGAGTCAAATAAATTCTGAGATTTCTATTCTTATTTGGGTTGCCCAATTCACAGTTTCCCAGTACCAATTACCAAATCAATTAAGCATTCCGAAGATGAGACAAGTATCAATGATAGTGAGGAAAAAATATATTGAACAATAAGATTCGCAAAAAAGAAAAAAAAACAAACTGAACTCATCATTCTTTTCTTTTCTAAACGTGTTAGGAGGTACAGACTACGTAGTTGAGTTAGGTGCGATTTTCATTAACAATTGTTAGAGAGACTATAGGTAACATGGCTGGGAATCGTTTGTGGTTGTGCTGATAGATTCACTTTCTGTCTTAAATTTTGGAATTATTGTATACTATGTTGTTTCTCATATGTCATTGTCTGTGTCCGATATTATTTTCTACTACCACTGATCCTGTTATACACTACTTCTACTATAGAATTGGTCTTAAAAGTGTTTTTCTACCTAGGCTAATCTGGTGTAATATCTTGGATCGATGTGTAGATACGTGACAAGTTCTACGTTGCTTGCGACTGATTGACTATTTTTAGCGGCTTCTTATAAGCTTAGACGGGAAAAAGTTTAAATTCACAATGAGCAGCAATAGGTCCTCAAACAAGAGTTTGATTTGATACATCAAGTTAGGATTAATAAAAAAGCAAGTCACGATATTGTCATTTATACCAGTCCAGATTAATGCATATTTATTCAGATGAGTAAAATCTAGCCTTGTTGAGTGATGGGAACGACAGTGTAAGATAAAACATAAATGCTTGGTCAGACGACACCTTAAATAAGTAAGTGACTTCTCTTTGCAGTTAAGCTAGGATTTAAGAATGAAAAAATGCCCTGGTACAGCCGAGAGTGGGAAGAGTCCGCTCTCCCATTCGAAATGCTCTCAAATGGCCACATGCATACAACCACTACGACGGAACTTCTACTCACTGCCTTCTCATGGCGAGGGTGTTGTTGACGAAATTGAGAGGATGAAAAGTGAATGTCCGGTGCTTCAACCGACTTGGTGGACATAGAGAGTCCACCTAAGGGAGTTGTAAAACCCTCATTTTGAACTAGTGGTGCACATGGGCTGGCTACAGTATCCTGAAGGAACAAATGGTGTATGAACCAATCGTTGATCAGCGGCTAACATGGGACTGCATCTCCTTACGATGTTCCACTGTCTTGTGGATCAGACCTTTCGATCGAAGGCTCTGGGTGTGACCTCCTAAGACAACCACCTTCTTCGGCCTGAGCACCCGGTCAGTATCACAGCCCTCACACAAATGAAATGAGATTTGTGTGGCGCATATGTATTTGGTGCCTCCTTGTGCCAATATATATGTGTTCAAATAAATAATAAAAATAAATGACCTTGAGTTACTAAGTCTCAGGTTTGAACCCTTATGTCGGTTAGGTTAATCAGGTAGTATCACTAGCTTTCATACTTAGAGTGTCATTCAAAATCAATTATGCAAGTTTGTAATTAGTATGTTACTTGTGGAGATAAAAGCCATCACCCATTTCTAACATGATCTATATGGATTTAAGAAAAGTGTGACAAATCAATCTTGCCTTTGTGAAGATAATTTGTCATGAAATAATTTCACTCATCATACTACATCTCTTTGTTTTCAGCTGATTTACTAACTTTTTTTCATTATCATATTGTTTAATTAGATAGTGGTTGCGATTTATTTCTCATTTACAGTTGATGGTTAAGGTTAGGAATTAGATTAGGGGTTTTCACGAACTGGTATCAGCTATAATGCCAAAACTCTATTCAATCAAATGGATGGATGGATTTCGCGCCGAAATCCAAGACCTATTATCTTATACCTGATTGGTTCGTTCATACATTATAGTCTTGACGTAATATCTTGTCTACCTCTCTTAGAACAATTAATTCTACCTTCATTCATTTTATTGTGATACGTTTTGTTCTTTTATATTAAGGAATTTTCCGAAATTTGGTCATCCATTGACTTGATCATCAATGGTGGTCCCATTCAATCTGATATGTCCTCAAAAAGCTCCGATTGTAGCCGGGCCGGTTCAACCATTATTGACTTGTGCAACTGTGACAAGTCTGTTTATTCTGTAGTACGAAATGGCAGGTAAAAAAATATGCATATGTTTTACATACTACTTATGTATTATTAGTAGTAGTAATTTGAGCTGTTTGGTTTTCATTCTGGAATCCTTCATTATCATTTTGAACAATATTGTCGGTGTCCCATATTAGTGTGTCAGATTTCAATACGATTGAAATGTTGATTATCTAGAGAAAATATGGATTCTACCTTAAATCGTTTATGTTTTGTCAACAAATCTTGTTAATAACAGTACAGATATGAAAAGTCGAATATATGCTGAATGTTACACTTTCTTATGAAAAAGGTTTTGAATTATTTAAATGGTAGGAATGACACAGTAATCATATGCTTTCTAATATCTAGCAATGTTAGTGGAAAAAGTTGCAAGAGAAGGAAATATGAAGTAACCATATGACAATGAAGAAACCAGTCAAGAACAAAGAACGCGAGACAATTACTGATCTTCAAAAACAGAGGAACAGATAGGTAAAACATTTCGAGGAACTCGTGAACAGAACAGCTCCACAGAACATCAAAGCAGCCCCTACAGACCTTCCTTTATATGTCACCACCACCATCAGGATGGCCATCAGACAAATTGAGATTGAGAAAGCAGCAGCACCTGACAACATACCAGATGAAGCACTGAAGTCAAACATTGAAGTAACTGCAAACATGCTTCACGTTCTATTCAGAGAGATTTAGAAGAAAGAATGAGTACCGACGTATGCGGAAGCTAGATATCGAAGAAAAGAGATTAGAGCAAGTGTGAGAAGTACAAAGGCATCACACTATTATCAGTAGCAGGAAACGTTTTCAACAGAGTTTTGCTAAACCGGATGAAAGATAGAGTATACGCTCAACTTCGAGATCAAGAGGTTGGATTCTATAAGGATCGGTCGTGTACAGACCGAATTGCGACACTACATATGATCGTTGAACAATCAGTTGAATGGAACTCGTCACTGCACATCAACTTCATTGACTATGAGAAAGCATTTGATAGTGTGGATAGGAGAACCTTAAGTAACCCTCTTTGACACTATGGTGTGCCTGAGAAAATCGTCAACATCATCCGTAATTCATACAACTGCAATTTCGTGAGTGGAGGACAGCTGAGAGATGCATTCCAAGTGAGGACCATTGTCATATACGCCTGTCTACTCTCCCCCTTCCTCTTTCTTCTGGTGGTTGTCTGGATTATGAAGGCCTCCAAACCTTAGGGAAAGCACGGAATACAATAAACAGGTTGGAATCAATTAGAAGATTTGTACTTGGTAGATGACATGGCCCTTCTATCCCATACACACCAACAAATGCAGATAAAGACAGTCAGTGTAGCAGCAGTCTCTGCATTAGTAGGTCTCAGTATACACAATGAAAAAGCCTAGATCCTCAAATACAACACAGAGACCAACACAATCACACTTGGTGGAGAGGCACTGGAAGTGGTGGAATCTTTCATATACTTGGGGAGCATCATCGATGAACAAGGAGGATCGTATGCAGACGTAAAGGCGAGGATTGTCAAAGCAAGGGCCGCATTCCTACAATCGAAGAACATATGGGACTGAAAACAACTGTCAACTAATATCAAATTCACAATCTTCAATATGAACATTAAGACAGTTAGTTCTGCTGTATGGAGCTGAAACTTGGAGAATTACTAGAACCACTATCAAAAACGTACAAGTATTTATAATCGGTTGTCTACGCAAGATACTCAATATCCGTTGACCGGATATCATCAGCATCAGCCTATTGTGGGAGAGAACAAATCAACTTTTAGCTGAAGAGGAAATTTCGAAAAGAGGTTGGAAGTGGATAGGACATACCTTACGGAAATCACAAAACTGCATCACGATGCAAGCGCTAACTTGGGATCCTGAAGGGAAGAGTAAAAGAGGAAGACTGAGGAACAAATTGCATAGAGAATTGGAAGCAGACAGCAAAATAATTTACAGTATGTGGTTAGAAGTGGAAAGGACTAGCAAGTACCGAGTAGGTTGTAAAATTCCAGAGAGTAGTGTATGCTCCTCGACTAGATGTAACAGGCATAAGTGCGATATCATGCGTCTTATTACTATGATAACATAATTTCGTAGTATTTTTTTTCACCTTGACGATTGTTTGTTTTTTTCTTTCTAGTGCATTCAATTCAACGGTAGCCATATTAGAAGGTCGTTACAATCTTTCTCTCGCAGACAATTTCTCCAACATAAACAATTGAAAACTAATTCCATTTTTTAAATGATATTTCATGTAAATGGTTTGAATTTTCCCTCCTATTCTTCTTCTTTTTCTTCAATAATCTAATTCTCCTACGCATTCACACTCCTCCATTTGTCTTCGAATCAATGTATTCGTATTATTATTATTATTATGTAACCCCGTATTTTACTTTTCTTTGCACATTCAGGGATTTCTTCTTCATTTAACTTTGATGATGATAATGATGATTTTTACTATTATTGTTATCCTTTTTTTTGTAATTTGTTTTCATCGACAAAAAATATATATATATCCGTCGGTTGTTAAGATAAACAGTGATGTTAAAATTCACTTATCAAATATGATTGTATTCAGTTACAGTGTTCTATTGTTATCTCTTTGTAATAAGTCATTTCAGTCAGCTACAGTGTAGAACCAGGCACATATATGCATCGGTCCAAGTTGCCATTTTTCATTAGCACAACAAGATGAACACCGGATTCATAGAAGTAGTTACTTCAATGGGGGTAATCTATAAAACAAAGATTGCATATTAAAATATAATACAGGAAGAAAGAATTAGTTCGTATAAAAAAACATAAGAAGCGATTTTAATCTCATAGTGTTATAACTTATGACCGCCGATTAGAGAACAGTGACTTATCGATCGGAACAATGACGCGTAAACCCGTATGAGCAGCCTAGAGTTCTGATCGGTCCTGTTTCCCGCCTAGCTCAGTCAGTTAAATCCAGAACACCAATCTCATTTATTTCAAACATACTCGATTTATATATCAACCAGATAGACCACAACGTACCATAAAATAGCAAATAACATTTGTACAATATTTGACAACAGGAAAATGACGCGCAGAATAAATATTGACCAATAGGAAAATGATGCCATTTCAAGTTCAAGGATAACATTAGACTTAATAGGATAATTTTTGGGATATTTTTCTGAATATCACAACACATAGTTTAAAAGAAGACAAAGAGTGTATACACCGACGCCATTGTGATCGATTCTGAGCCATTTCACCAAGAGTCTCCAACCATTGGTTATGATAATCACACGAACCCCAAGTAGTCTGCATCTACCAACATGGCTCAGATAAGAAGTTAGTGACTTTGTGGACTGATGCCATGTTTTAGTTTGGCCGCCTAATATATCATTTACCTGTTTTGTATTTTAATTGCAATGAGAGTACTCATGACTTTTTTTTGTAGGAAAATTTAAAAACACTTTGATCAGTGTAACTGTTTTCTTTGAAACTCAGATGTAAGGGATGTCTAGAGATTGAAAGTTTGTTAAAAGGTCATTGTTAAGTATTCTAGTAGTATACCATATTACATCGGGTAATGTATTGTACAATGTAGTATGTATTTCAGTAGTAGACAAGTAGAAGTTTAATATACTAGACTTTAAGCTCCAGTCGATTTTTTTTCTCTGAAAATAAAAGGTCTAATGATATTACTGTTGGGGATAGTGAACTGGTTAAATGTACAGCCTAGTGAGTGATTGTCAAGTGTATTGTTACAGTGAATTCCATAAATGCAGTATGTAATTATAGTGTACGTCGAGCTGATTGTCTTGATGGATATATGACAATGGTTCTTGAGTTGTTTTATCTTGATAAATAGTTATGTTCGAGTTTCAGTCCAACCTACCACAATTATGAATGGCAAGTGAATGAGATTATTCTAATAGGAACATATAGTTTATTGCTAACTCAATATAACGACAACTAATACATACAACTATTCGACAATTATTAAAACATAGTACCCATTCAATATTCGTAAAGATTATTCAGTCGCTCAAATCTTCACTTCCTTCACAATCATATTCACTTGAATCATATCGATTGTTCAGATCAATAATCTCAGGCTCCAATTTGATATCCAACTTCAACTCCACAATATCTACAAACATATGTAGAGTGGATTATGTGTAAATCCTTCTCAATTTCTGATGACAATTTGTGTTCTATTGCCCACCACCATTGATTAAGTTCGTTTGAGCTCATCTAGTAGTACGAAGTTTCAATTGAACCATTTCGGGAATTCTTAATTAGTACGTCCGTTCGAATACCTTTAATTATCATATAAATTCAATAAAGTATATTATTAATGTCGTGTTAATTAACGTCTCTAACTGTGAAGCTAGATGACATAGGATTGAATAAACTAGAGAACATCAGTTCTGTCAAGATTACAGGTACACCTAACTGACAAGTGCTAAGTAGAACGAAACATCCAACCACCATCTCATATCACCATGATGCATATGACGACCACAGCCACCTAGTCCAGTGGCCACATTCCAACTTCATCGAGAGAATTCAATGTGAACTAAGGAATATTTAACGCATTTGATATTGGTCATTACCAACCGATCAAACAATCGTAAACAAAACATTTCTATTTGTCAATTATCGAAATCTAACCATCAACCACCAATGAAAGTAATCATCATCATATTCATCAATAAGAATTGTACCAAAGTAAATGTGTAGTACGAGGCATCTCAGTATTTCACATTGTTGTTATGATTATGATAACTTCTGCTCATTTGATATAGATAATAAGCATTACCCGTCTATCAATCCATCAAATGAATTATTTCGATGGTTCTAACTTAACCAACTACCCATCCATCACAGTTTATCTCAATCGATGTATAACTGATTGTCAATGAATGTTTTGTCGATTGTGTTTCCTTGTTGATTTATTTCTTCTTTTTTTTTCTCTCTCAAATGAATGTACACAGTTCTCTTTACTGTGTTTAACTAACAGGAAATGTTTAGTTAACCAAGAGTTAATCTATTCGAATTCACACTCACACATACACCAACACACATACATACACATTTGTAGTAGATAGATAGATATAACTGGAAAACAATGAATAAATTTCATGTAAACCACCTGTCAGTCTATTCTACATAACTGTCGTCATTTACTCCATCTCCTTGTTGATAGTTCGTCTACTCTTATAATTCGATCATTCAATTAGTTGTTATTATCCATGTGGTGGTGGTGCTTGTTGTGGTTGTTATTCAGAATGGTATCCTTTTTTTTGTTTTACAGACTGGAAACAGGAAAGCAGAATTCAAATCAGTGAAACAGTCTCAATTATTCTCCTACTCACTTTCCTTCACTCTCACTCTCTCTCTCTCCATGTGGGTGTGGGTGTTTTCACCTTTCGTGAAAATGTATTCTATTCTAGTCGATCACATAGTGTATACACCAAATAACAAGTGTTCTGTTATGTCTCAATTCAATGTTATCATAACATGAAACTGTATATTGGTGTATTCATGTATGGTATCCGAAATTCTGTTGTTTATTTCATTCATTCATTCATTCATTCCTTTCATTGTTTTAATTGTTGCATTCAAACAAATCGTTTTGAGAATTCAATGAGGTAACAATCTCAGTGAGTGAATGAATGAGTGAGTGAACAATATGTGGATAATGGGGAATAATCTAATTGGATGAAGTAAAAGGGAGAGAAGACATGAATAAGATAAGAATTTCTATCAAACAAACAAAAAACAACCAAATTAATTTCCGGAGTTCATTTCTACTTAGAATAACTTACAAATGTGTTTGTTTACATTCAGTGTGTGTGTGTGCGCCTGTTTATGTGTGTGTGTTGATCATAGAATGGATACTAAATTAAAAGAAGTAATTTGTCAATAACTGAATTACATTCCACTCATGTTGAAACTTTTCATCAAAGATGAAACAGATTTCGATGTTGTACTCTTCACTTGATCAGCTGATCATTCTGACTATGAATCCGATGTGAAATCTTCGATCAAGGTAATTCAGATCGGTTCAAGTTATAATAGAATAAGGTGCATCTTCTTCACTATTGGAGTGTTTTGATATTGATACGATTTGGCAAAAGTTTGATGTTTAGTTGACAGGTAGCCCTGTATCATACAGATTTTATTCTCCGTGTCAACTTAGTGTTTCTTCAATCATGAGATCAGAGAAAGGACTGATGAACTGTTCAATCAGTGATTGATTCACTCTATAATCGATGCATTCTAAACAACACATTGAATATGAGCATATTCGTGAGAGGACCTTAAGAAATCATCATCCTCAATATTCATTCTACAGAGTTGAAGATCACATTTGTCAAGATTCCTAAATATCAAGACAAAAACCTTTGATAGATACAGAGAAAGACAGAATGGTCACCATTAAACATCCATATTCTCATTCTAATTACACTATACTGTTATAATGAAAAACAGACATGTGCACCAAACCATAAAGTGTATACCACCCACTAATCACAACCAAAATGGTCATCTGTCATTTTAGCCTAAACTCCTCCTTCATTGTACAATCATTCCTGCTGTGTTCCATTCCTTAAAACAAACAAACAAACGAATAATCAACCAATTAATTCATTAATGAATAACTGAGCTTTTCATGTTTGTTATTGCCTAATATGATAATTATCCACTGATCTATTACATTCATCATTCAATAAGAGATGAATTACATTTACCCTCTAATTATTATAACTTGATAACCTGGAACACAATGAAAAATACTCAACTCATTTGTCTATGTGTTGATTGACAAAGAAACCAGAAATTGGTTAGATGACCAACTTGATTGAAATTGACCAATCGTCATTCATTGATCCATCTGTGAATGAGATGAATTGAAATTGGTTTCCGGTAAAGTAACATTGGAATTGGAGAATAGTGAAGAATAAGCATAGACTTGAATAAGAGGTAATACGAAAAGCCATTGAAGTAGGAAATATGGGATAAGACAACAACAACAACAACAAATCAGAGTGTACACTACTCCTACTCCTACTCTCACTTGAACTCCAACACACATCAACAATCATGTTGTTTAGTCTTCAACTAGACAGATGTCTTAGTTGATATTCTCTACACAGCATGATGTCGAAAGAGAATTATGTCAAATTCTATTTAACAATAACCAAATATTTTCAAGTAGATAAGACACACTTGTTCAACTCGTGCCCAATATACAGCAAACAAGAGAACAATGACAGAACAATGTAGGTAGATCTATATGAATTGGAATAGTTATGATGATCATGATCATGGTGAATGAATCATGATCCATTCAACTTTAATTTACTAATCAAATCAGACATTAATGAAGTAATTCACATATAACAGTAATGTGTAAATATCCATCTGTATTGACTTCTATTGTGCCATCTATGTTCAACAGTTCATTGATATCTAGCCGGACAAAACGATCCAAAGTAAGTTAGACAGATGAGAAGTTCAGTCTACTGAACAAAAGTTCAGTTACATTTGATTATGATCATGAACTGAATAGTTCATATGTAATCAGTAGCTGTTGAG